AAGTTGGTATTCTAGATGGACCCCAAATATCACTATGTACCAAGGTAAAAGGGCTAGTAGGTTTATAACTGTGGGGTAAATAAGTGTTTCTGTGATGTTTTGCAAGAGCACACATATCACAATTAAACAAAGCAGCATCTTTATTTAGAAATAATTGAGGAAACATCTTTTTTAAATAATAGAAACTAGGATGTCCTAGTCTATAATGAAGTAAATACAACTCTTTATTATTTGAAAAAGAAACAGTTTGCAAACAAGCATTTCTTAGACCTTTTTTATTAGATTGAGTTTCTCCATCAAAGATATAGAGTCCATCCTCCTCCTTAGCACTGCCAATCATCTTCCCCGATGCTAGGTCCTGAAAAATGCAATGAGAGGGATAAAAAATGACACAACTTTGTAGATCTTTAGTTATTTTACTAACTGAAGTAAGATTGCAGGATAGATTAGGGACATGAAGGACTTTGGATAGATTCAGTGATGAAGAAATACTAATATTTCCCATCCCTGCAATGGTTGATAGAGAACCATCTGCAACCTTAACCTTTTTATCTCCTGCACTAGGTTTATATGAAGAAAAAAGGTTTGAAATAGAAGTCATGTGATCAGTAGCCCCTGAGTCAATAATCCAGGTATTTTTAGATTTCCCAGAACAAAAAAATGATGAATAGGTACCATTTTGGGCATAAGAGCAAGAGGAAGATTCTGGTTTAGATTCTTTCTGGGAATTTTGGGTTTTCTGGGAATTAAGGAAGTTAAGAAGTTGCCCTATCTGCTCCTGAGTGAATGAAAGTTGATTGAACTTGACTTGTGGTTCTTGTTGAGTCTCAGTCACAGTTGTTTGTAGGGCTTTCTCAGTTTTTTTCTTTCCTGCCCCTGGTGGTTTGCCATGAATTTTCCAACAAGTCTCCCTAGTGTGCCATAATTTCTTGCAATGATCACACCAGGGTTTTTTCTTGTCATCACTCCTAGCCACCATTGCTGAAGAGTCCCCAGATTCCTCATTATGTACTGGAGTGCTGTACATAACCTTCTTCCTGCTATCCTCCATCCTGATTTCAGAAAATACCTCCCTGATAGAGGGTAGAGGTTTTTTTCCAAGTATCCTCCCCTTAATTTCATCTAGGTCCCTATTGATCCCTGCTAGAAACATATAGACCCTATCATTCTCTTCTCTTTTCTTATGTCTGGCCAGATCCTTAGCACTCTCCCACTCTTCATCACCATAGCATTGATCTAATTCTTGCCACAGAGATACCATTTCATTGTAGTATGAAATAATATCCCTATTTCTTTGTTTAGATTGCCACAGTTTGGTTTTGAGTTCAAAAATTTGAGAAGAGTTCTCAAGATCTGAATAGGTTTCCTTAATAGAATCCCATACCTCCTTTGCAGTCTTCATAAACATATGAGGTTTGGCAATTAAGGGCTCCATGGAGTTGAGAAGCCAAGCTGTTATGAGTGAATTCTCTGACCTCCATGTACTGTACCCTTCTTCTGCAGGTAGTTTTGGTTGGATTTCTCCTGTGATGTAACCCAGCTTTCCCCTCCCATCAATTGCAAGTCTGACAGATTGAGACCACTCCAGATAGTTTGTTCCATTCAATCTATGACTAGTGATTATCATAGATGAATGAATAGGAGACTGGTAATTTGTCATAGAGCTAATTTGGGAGTTAGGGTTGATAGTGTGTGAGGAATCAGCCTCACTGGTTTCTACCATTGTTTAAACCGAAGCTCTGATACCATGTAAGTTTTAGGAATAAAACTTCCTTAATATTATTGAGCCATCCGGCCATGGTATATATACATGTTACAGATAAAATCAAGTTGTTATAGATCCTAAAAAATAGGATCTATCTATTCTATCTATTCTGTGAGCTTATCTACTAATTAGAGAGTCCTATCTACTCTAATTCTTATCTACACAGTTCCGGATGTACAAGTAATTAAAATAACAAGAATATGTTACATTTTTCTACATATAGAGTCCCATCAAACATGGTATTCCCATGTTGTGCTTGTATTTGAGTTATCTCTGATATTTCCAGTTGGAATATTTTGAGCATTGGAAAACTCATTGGGGTTGGTTGCTCAAGCAGTTGCATGCTGAAACTTCCATCGGGCAAGGTGAAAACAGAGCTTCTAACCCCAGCAGCTTTCCTTGTTCCTCCCCTTTGCTTAATCACCCCATGACCATGAGTTGAAGCATCCAGGCAGTCTCCATTAGAACCCATAGGGCCTTCCATGTTGTTCCCTCCAACGGCTTTCAGCATACTATCTGTGGTCCTCATAGTTAAGAACTGTTGAATAGGGTCAGAAGGATTCCAGTACATCACCCCACCACCAAAGTACTGGTTATAATCCATACCAATACAACCACGGACCTCTAATTCGTCTTCTGTGACGTGATAGTGGTGCAGTACCTTTTCAGCATCCCTATTGTTAGCTACTTTCATATGATCAGAATTATAACCGTGAACATAGCTCAAACTATCAAACCCCTCAAAGGAATTATTTTGGTTTTGCATTTCAATTTTGTCCTCCTTTTTCTCAGACTTTGATTCATCCTCTTCTATTTTCTCAGTTTCCTCTTTACGGACAGTTTTTGTAGAGCATTCCCAAGTATTCGAACCAACAATTTTATCAACGCCATATTCATATTCCACGACAATGGACTGAATCACCACAGAAGTTTTTACCTTTGGTTCCTCATCACCATTGATGAATGTATCTTCAGAGTTAGGTTGTTGCTGACTCCCAGACTGCTGCGGGAATGAAACTGACTCAACTTGCGGACTGTGAGAAGCGGAAATATGCGATGAAACCTGCGGTGAGACCTGCGAATTGAGATAAGTCGCTCTTTGAGCCATGCGAACTGAGACCTGCGAACTGGTAGACACTGTGCGCGACTGCGAGTGCGATGATTTCCGGTTTTCTGTAATCCGCCTGCGTGTAGGTTGGAATCTCCGAATTGTAGCTTCCTTCAGAACTTCCCAATTCTTTTCTCTAGTTTCAATTTCCCACCATTGGAACCAGTCTAACGCCCTTTCCTCCATTGCTTCTTCTGCGACTCTAACCTTATGTTTTTCCGCAATAGCGTTGAGTTGGAAGTATCGTTCCATCTTAATTATCCATCCGTACACATCATCCCCATTGAATACTGGTAAATCTACTTTCCTTCTAGATTTCTCCATCCACTTGCTATAATCATTGTTTCGCGAAGAAGAGCGGTGATTACCTGAAGAAGACGAAGAAGATTCGCCTTGACAGTTAAAGAGATGTCAACTCTCCGGTCCCAGCCCAATACCAAATAACAGCCTCCCTATTCCTCCTTTAGCTATCTATTTATAGAAGTCCACCCGACCCTCCAAATACAATTCAGCTAGCTACTTATTATTCCCTTTCCTTCTGGAATACACTTTATCATAATAGCTAATACTATTATTATTATTATCAAAAGGTTGACTTCCTAAGACTCTAACAAAAATCGGCTTAAAGATCAGAAACAATGAAACATTAGTACAAGACTAGAACGAAACATTCATGAAGCAGAAAACTAAAAAGTGCAAAACCAGACCGCATTTTAAATATTCTGATCACGTCACATTTTTCATGTTTTCATGGTAAAGAGAGCATGTCCTAAATCAAGTACTAGGATCAAAGTATTGATATATGGAATTCCATTATTATGTCTGAAGTCTGAACATTAGCAGCATACTAAAACAAATGGAGGATGGAAATCTAAGGTTTGAAATGGCATATTGCGTGTTTGAGGCGGTTACTTAGCGTGGAATATATTGGAATATACTTCAGAATATGCTTCAGAATATTTTAGGAATATACTCTAGGATATTATTATTGTATAGAATCTTATAGGAATATTCTATTACTCCCTCCGTCCCAGAAAATTCTTCCCACTTTGACTTGGCACGGAGATTAAGAAAGTGGAATAAAGTGGAAATGTGTGGTTGTAGTTGTGTAAGAAAAAGGTGAAATGAATGTGAACCACACAAATTGTCCAAAAATGGTAAGTGGGAAGAATTTTTTGGGACCGTCCGAAAAGGAAAGTGGGAGGAATTTTATGGGACGGAGGGAGTATTATTTTGCAAAACAAATTGGGACGGAAGCAGTAAGAGTTATTATGGATATTAAAAGATTAAAAAGACGTGTCTCATTTGTCAATATGAAAACCTGGCATCAGAGGGGATCAGGGGATAGTGAAAAAATAAATTAAAAATCATCTAAGAAAAGAAACATGGGCCAGAGTTCCAGAGGATGCGAATACCCTCATTTTCATTTACCCCGATGCCGCAAAGGCTCCCACCTACGGTGGGGTAAGGTGGGATCGGATGTACGCAGTCTTACCCTTGTACTAAAACACAGAGAGACTGTTTCCGGATGACCCATAGTGAAAATCCCTTCCAAAATTGCATGGACTGACTGTTGCTTCATAACAAAGAAGCGCAGACAGTTTAGTGAGCCATTTTGCTTTATTCCATCATAATCTCAAGCCAAAAAATAATGAATCTTTGGCTCCATTGCAAATGATGGAAATAATTCAGGAGGTAAACTACTGCTGAAAAGACAGATCTATAAACTAACAAGGACACTTCGTAAGTTCCGCTTAACACTTTTATACTAACAAGGACGTTTGCGCCTATGAAGTTCCTTTATGACTTTTGGAGTACCGATGTCCGAGGTTTTTTCCGTCGTTCGCTAAAGAGAACCTGACCCTGTGATTTCTCTCTCGCACGCAAATCGACGTGGCACACCACTCTGGTACACTTTCTAGCTCGTTGATCCCATGATGCATCCATAGTTTCTGATCATAAGCAAGATACAGATCACCCAAACACACCTTACTTGTAAGATCGGACAAGTTGACAGTAATCTTAACAACCTTCCTTTTTATCATAAGTATTGTCAAAACAAGAATTACAAATTAAGGCTGTACCAAACAAACCGCATTTGTAGTTGGATGTTAGTTAGCATCTTACCTCACGCCCAAACTGAGCAGGGAAATTTTCATTCTCCTCAACAACATGTGATAAAATTATATCTCCAGGAACTTCCACATAAAAAAGGCTGGAAGAATTATCAAACTCTGTCCGCAATTGTTTCCGCCCTGCGATAGCAACCAGAAATACATGCGAAGTGGTCAACTATATTATACTTGCAACCAGAAATACATGCGAAGTGGTCAACATTTCCATTGAACGCCAAAATTAAATAAAAGTGGTATCAAATTATCAATGTATGGTGTGAGGCATAAAAAATAGCCACTGTCATTTTTCCATATTGGTTTTTGCTTATAATGTTAAAACTACATTTAAACAGTTAATTTGACAGTATAAATTTTATTTCACCAACCCATTGTAGTTGGAACTAAAGAGCTGATGGTGATAAATGTATAAGAGACTGCATACAAGTAAAAATAGAATAATTTTAGAGACAATAAGACTTTCTGAAATGCATACATAGAGCCACAGCATCTAAAAATAAAATAAGAGACGCAAGTTACAAAGTTCCAAGAGATAAGTGAAATGAGTAAATTAATCTTGAGAAATACAGTGCTGGGACACATAACCGAATATGCTTTACCTTTGAATCCTTTGGTGATTGTAAAATCAATCCCCAATCTTTTAGCAGCCAAATAGAAAATGTTTTGCACTGCTCCCACCCTGGCTGATGGGACAGGAATCACCTGCAGGCAAAGACAGGATGTGTAATTAAACCAGGCAGGAAAACAAGCTTTAATATGACAGAAAGAAGCAATGCTTAACGCATTCAACTCAGGCTGCATTTTCTGAAGATTTCAAGAGATAATGAGGTGTGAATCCTATAATCTCTTATCAGATCCTTCAGGTGTAACAGTGAACGGATGAATACGTGGTACCAGTGACATCCTATTTGTGTAGGTTTCTCAACTCACATACTATATATATTAAGATATGAAAGCAATTAGACTCATGTAACAGAAACACAATATTCACCTTCAAATACACAGACAAATGAACATATGGTGCCAGCACCATTACCACTTGGTATCTAAGGTCGAGACTCGAGACTCACGATCACATTTAAAATATGACACAATTATAAATTGATAACTTAATCGAAAGTGACACCTTGAATATGTACAATAATGTTGAAAATATCTGAACATTTTTCCCTTTCCATGATATATTATTCATCATTGTCATCTCTATATATTTGATAGAACTAGGCAAATCCGACTCACAAAAGTAGAGAATTAGGAAGAATTGATCAAGAAACTGATCAAGAAATCTTATTTGATGTGAAAAGTCGTGTACAGAAGGGATACAGTAGCCACTGACAATTCGAGATGCCCAGTCTCCAAATCTATTCCCAACTCAAAATAAGTGCCTACCTTTTACTCTTCCCCTCCCCTTCTATTTACACTACTACATTTACACTTACTATTATTATTTTTTCTATTATTAGCCCACTAAGCCAGATTCCTATCAATACTCCCCCCCTAAACAACCACCGTGTCCTCAAGGTGGGTGATAGGAAACAGCCATGATCTTCCACTTCCACTTCATTTTTGCACCTCACCCCTCCCAGTACTTGACTGATTGCTGGACTAGGAACTTCAATACCAAATCTTTTGATATCACAGGCATTTCCGCTTCAGTAACTTGTTGGGCTGTAGGCTTCGGCCCATTCAGATCTGGGAGCCAAATAAACAAAGAGCAGCAGCCTGCTCTAGTTAAATGTGCAGGCAGCCCTAGTTGGGCCTGTTTCTTTGGTGGCAGTCAGGCCCAGAACCTTATTAAGTGTTTTACCCTAATTGTTTGCCTATATATATTGACTCCTGTACTTGTAAACTATGACTTGTATCATTCATCATCTCAATAAGAAAGAAAACCCTAGTTGCCCCCGTGGATTAGGTCAGTAACACTTACTGGCTGAACCACGTTATATTCGTGTGCCGTTCTTTTCTAGTTTTTCAGATTCGAGTGTGTGTGAGATCTAACCCTAACAACTGGTATCAGAGCAAGGTTAGCCACCACCACTTCTGCCGCCCTGCGTCTTCAGCCTCCTCGTGCCACCAACAGTGCACTGCCGCAGAAGAATATAGCCGGCAGATTGTGAAGGACTGGGACAATGGCAGATGAGGAAAAACCAAAGTCGAGAAGTTTGATGGACAAGATTTTGGATGGTGGAAGATGCAAATTGAGGATTTGTTGTGTCAGAAGGATTTGGATGAAGCCTTGACAGGGAAAAGACCAGAAAAGATGAGTGATGATGAATGGGCTGCTCTAGACAGGAAAGCTTTGGCTGTTATCAGATTTACCCTAGCCAAGAGCTTTGTCAAACATGTATGAGAAACCATCGGCATCAAACAAGGTATTTCTTATAAGACAGCTAGTAAACACCAGAATGAAACATGGTGCATCCGTTACCTCACACATTAATGAGTTTAATACTATCATATCCTGTTTACTATCTGTTGATATTAAGTTTGAAGATGAAGTCCAAGCTTTATTCTTGTTATCCTCATTACCAGAAAGTTGGTCAGGAACGGTCACTGCGATTAGCGGTTCAACTGGAACCTCTAAACTCACATTTGAGCGCATTCGTGACATTATCCTAGGAGAGGATATAAGAAGGAGGAGTTCTGGAGAATCTTCTAGTGCTTTGTTAAGTACTGAAGGGAGAGGTAGAAAGAAAGAGAAGGGAAATGGCAGAAGTAGATCAAAGTCTAGAAAGGGGAGCCAGTCAAAACCGAGAAAAGATATTCAATGCTGGAACTGCAAAGAAACTGGGCATTTCAATGCCCTAAATCTTCAGAAAGGAAGTAAATGCAGCCACTGACGATTCAGATGATGCCCTATCTGTTGTGTTGAAAACTCAACAGAAACGTGGATTATGGATTCTGGTGCATCATTTCATGCTACTTTCAGCACGAAGGCGATGAAGAATCTACGAACAGGTAATTTTGGAAAAGTTCGTTTGGCTAATAACGACTCTCTTAGTCTCTTGACATCACAGGGATGGGTGACATAGACTTAAAGACTTCATTAGGCACCACTTGGACATTGAAAGACGTTCGGGTAATTCCAAGCCTTAAGAAGATGCTGATTTCTATTGGGAAATGATGTTACTTTTGGTGAAGGACAATGGAAAGTTGTCAAGGGGAATCTTGTAATCGCCAGAGGCAAAAAGAGGGGTACTTTATATATGGTTGAAGCTCCTGATGATGAGATTAATGCAGTGACCAGCGGGCTGAATCCATCCGGTTTGTGGCATCAACGGCTAGGCCACATGAGTGAAAAGGGAATGAAGATGCTCGTTGCAAGGGGGAACGTTCCAGATTTGAAAAAGGTGGATTCTGAGTTCTGTGAGCCTTGTGTACTTGGCAAGAAAAAGGTTTCTTTTGTGAAGACAGGTCAGACACCGAAAACTCATAAGCTGGAGCTGGTTCACACGGATGTGTTTGGGCCAACGCCAGTCTCTTCTCTGGGAGGATCAAGCTACTATGTGACCTTCATTGATGACTCAACACGCAAGGTATGGGTCTACTTTCTTAAAAATAAGTTTGAAGTTTTCAATATTTTTAAGAAGTGGAAAACTGATGTTTAATTGGAAACTAATCTGAAGATAAAGAGCTTGAAATCGGACAATGGTGGTGAATACATTAGCACATAGTTTATTATTACTGTGCTGAACATGGCATTCGGATGATAAAGACGGTTCCAGGCACTCCTCAGCAGAACGGAGTGGCAAAAAGGCTCTACATGGCAGAGCCTGAAGGATTTCAGGTTGTTGGTAAAGAAAATCTGGTCTGCAAACTAAAACGAAGCTTATATGGTCTAAAACAGGCACCGAGTCAGTGGTATCTGAAGTTTGATAACTTCATGATAAGGACAGGTTACAGAAGATGTGAGATGGACCATTGTTATTACGTGAAGAGGTTCAAGAGTTCACATATCATTTTACTTCTCTATGTAGATAGCTGATGCAGATATGAAAGAGATCAGCAGGTTAAAGAAACAAATGTCTCAAGAATTTGAAATGAAAGATTTGGGTCCAGCCAAACAGATTCTAGGAATGAGCATAGTCAGAAACAAGGAGAATGGTTCTTTAACACTATCCCAGGAGAAGTACATTGGGAAAGTGTTGGAGAAATTCAAAATGAATGGTGAGAAGACTAAACCAAGAAACACGTCTTTGGGAAGTCACTTCAAGCTTACCAAAGACAAGTCTCCGAGAACGGACGAAGAAAAAGCAGAAATGGCTAAAGTTCCTTTTGCATCTGCAGTCGGTAGCCTCATGTATGCTATGGTGTGCACGAGACCAGATATTGCTCATGCAGTCGGGGTTGTTAGTCGCTTCATGTCAAAACCGGGGAGGGAACATTGGGAAGCAGTCAAATGGATACTTAGGTATTTGAAGGGTACTACAAAGATGGGGTTATGTTTCATAGGTAAAGACGTGATTTTGAGAGGGTATTCTGATGCTGATTTGGGTGGATGCAAAGAGACATTTAAAAGCACTACGGGGTACATTATTACAGTGGGAGGAACTGCAGTTAGTTGGATGTCCAAACTTCAGAAAAGTGTTACTCTTTCAACAACCGAAGCAAAGTACATGACAGTTGCTGAAGCCAGTAAAGAGCTGGTTTGGTTGAGGAACTTCCTTGACGAGTTAGACAAAAAGCAAGCAGATTACTCGTTACATTGTGATAATGAGAGTGCGGTGAAACTTGCCAAGAATCCAGTCTATCATGGGAAAACAAAACACATTGGGATGAGATATCAGTTTGTCAGAGGGTTGATCACTGCAGGAACGATGAACTTGAAGAACATCTCAGGTGCAAAGAATCCAGCAGATATGTTCACTAAATCTGTGACGCTGGACAAGTTGAAGTTCAGTGTAACTTCAACTGGCCTTCAAGAATAATGTTGAGAAGGCAGGTGGCAACTATGAGGAGCTAAACACAGATGAAGTTTACAGAAGTACAGAGGAGTGGAGTGCAGTTGATCGTGTTTCGAAGCCTCCAAGTGGGAGATTGTTGGGTTGTAGGCTTCGGCCCATTCAGATCTGGGAGCCAAATAAACAAAGAGCAGCAGCCTGCTCTAGTTAAATGTGCAGGCAGCCCTAGTTGGGCCTGTTTCTTTGGTGGCAGTCAGGCCCAGAACCTTATTAAGTGTTTTACCCTAATTGTTTGACTATATATATTGACTCCTGTACTTGTAAACTATGACTTGTATCATTCATCATCTCAATAAGAAAGAAAACCCTAGTTGCCACCGTGGATTAGGTCAGTAACACTTACTGGCTGAACCACGTTATATTCGTGTGCCGTTCTTTTCGTTCTTTTCTAGTTTTTCAGATTCGTGTGTGTGAGATCTAACCCTAACATAACTTTCAAGCACTCAATCACAACACATCTAGTAGATGCAAACTTCTCTTGGTACCTTTGAACTTCTTCCTCTTTCAATTCTTGGCCTACATCATATGAAAAGGAAGGCATAAAAGGTTTTAGCAAGCAAGCAAGGAGATCCACTATACCAGCAACACTTCTCTTAAGTATGGAACAGGAATTCCTCTCTTCAATGTAAGACTTCCTCAGTTGATTTTCTTGCAGAAATTCCAGATACCATTCAACCCCTTCATCTTTCAACGCTGCAGTAGTTCTCATAACTATGGAACATGAAGGCTTATCTTCCATAT